CTCCTGCTGAGCTGGCACAGCCCACATATTGCCGCCCATGTGCCCTTTCTTCTGGGATCTCCACGATCACTGGATGCCAATGTCACATCCTAAAGCCTGTGCCCCCCAGGCTGCCCAACTCTTTAATTAGTGTACCCCCTTTCTCCTTCAAGGAGGAAGAACATGCCTTTCCAGGTATCCTTCTGGGAATTCAGGGCCCTGCTTCTGGGCCTCGCCTTTAACCCTTGCTTCTCCTCCCTGCTGGCCACAGCACCACGTTTCAGCACCCTCTGAGCCCTTTTTCCCTTCCCTTTCCCTGACACTCTCCAGGGTATAAAAGCCCCCCTGTAGGAGGGGGAAGGGAGAACAAAGTGAGCCGGAGCCAAGTCCTGGCTCAGGGCCAGGGCCAGGACAGGCTGCAGGATGCGTGTGTGCTTGGGGTGAGCAGCCCGCGCCAGGACCTCTGCCTCCTTCAGGAGAGAGGCTGGGCTAGGAGAAAGCTCCCTGACAGAGCCTTTCGGCTCTCCCCCTAGAATGGGCCATACCTGAAATTTGAGCCCCAAAGACCCAGAAGGTGTGACAAATGCCCTCCTCACAGGCCGGCCTGCAGCCCAGCAGGGCAGCAGCAAGACACCAATTGCCAATCAGGTTATTAAAAGCTTAGCTGGTGGTTCCCCTCCAGCAGGGTGGAATCATCAGGCATTGGCCCCCTGGGAGTGATGGATGGTGACAAATGAGGGTACGTAGGGGGTTCCTGAGCCCATCCAGGGCCACAGCTGGGAAACTCAGCTATCAAAGCCCTGTAAAGGCTCCTCAGCGGAGGTGAGTCTGAGGGCTAAGGAGATCAGGTTTCAGGCAAATGGTTTGGGGGTGGAGAGGCCCTGCTGGGGACAAGCTGCTCAGTGTGTTGTGTGGGGCCCCAGCCCAGCTGTGGGCCTGAGCTGGGGAGCTGGGGGTGGGGTGGGCTTCTCTGATCCTGGAATCTCAGGCCCAGGCCTTGGGTAGTGGGGGTGGGAAGGGCAGGGCCAGAGCTGGTGGGAAGGAGGGAGTCGCCTTCCTGGGAGGAGACCAAACACCTTTGAAAGCAGGTGCTGCCGTCTGCTCAGAGCCAACTGGTGGGACCACACAGCCAGCCACTGTCCGCAATCCCAGCAGAGCTGGTGCTGGTGCGCAGGGGAGGGACCCCTGGGTGACCAGGAAGAAGGAAGAGACCAAGAAGAAAGAGATACAGAGAGGAGAGGTACAGAAGAGAACAGCCGGTGGGGGATGGGCTGGGGGGTGCTGGAACCCAGCTTTGTGGGCCCGGTAGGACCAGAACAGGTGAGGCAGTAGGGAGAAGGCGCACCAGTGGGGACAGGGCACCAACAAAGGCCTGGAGGCGGGACATGAGCAGGAATGGTGGGAACTTCTGAGGAATGAGGTTGGAAGCCTGGAGATGGCTGTAGGAGAGGGACACTGTGAGCCCCCAAAGGCAGGGGGACATCTGAAGCGCCGCATCTGAGCAGGGTCTGCTGGTAAGCAGGAGGTTGATGGACAGCCCTGTGGCCAGCGGGGAGAGAGAACTGGGGCTCTGCCCAGCAGTCTGTGTCCTCAGTGAGGAAGGAGGGCAGCGCGGAGCCTGTATATCAAGGCCAATCACAGTGGTGCCACCACAGGGAGGATGTGCTGGGAAGGAAGAGTCCAGGGCTCTTCTGGCTGGCGCCCCTTCATGGCCTTCGGGCTGGTCCTCCTCCCGAGGCAGGAAAGCCTCTGTGCAATGCTGATGCTACCAGCCTCTTCCTGACTGCCTCCCCCGCTTGGGGGCCAACTACAATGCCAGGGTAAGGAAGCCACCTTTGTCCTCAGCTGAAATCTGCCTCCTGGCCTTCCCTCCTCTGAGTGGGCTCCAGCCTAGCAGTGTGGGCTGGAGAGAACACACTGCTGCCCTTCTCCTCCTCACCAGTGCCCCCGCTCAGGGCAGCCTGGCTTAAATCCCTCATGCTCTGATGGGGGCGGGGGTGCGCCTCATGGGGCCGGAGCATTCCAGGAAGGGTCTGTCACATAATGCTTGTGACACTCTCCCGGGGCAGGAGAGCCAGGAGTGAGGGTGTCATTCACACGCTCCCCTCGCCAGGGGAGCCTGGCAGCTAACAGCACTGCCCTCCAGCCGCTGAATGGGGGTCAGATTCCGTCTGGGGCCAGGGCAGGTACCTGTGTGTGTGCTGGGGCAGTTCAATATGTGTGTGTGGGTACACTGTGCGGAGGGGCCAGGCCCGGAGCTCACTGGCCTGCATGGGGTCGGGCCTGCCTCGGCCACCTGTCCACAGGCTTACCGGGGGGCCGGGCTGCACAGGCAGGCACATCGGCCATTCCCCCACTTCTGGACCGAATGAGGCAGCCCTTGGGCATTCTCCACTGTGCTGCTGGGGACCAGGGGTGTTGCTGAGGCTTGGAGGTGTTATACCAAAGTCGGGTGTTGTAGACCCTTTGGGGGTGTGCATTTGGACACAGAGAGCCTTGGCGGGGATGGAAGGGTGGTGGGCGTTGAGGGTCTCAGTCTCTGGGCCTCTCCAGCTGCTGACTGTCGTTTTGACTCCCTTGTCCCAGCCTGTGCTTGATTTGCCAGAGTTTGAGGGTCCTTGGAATGTGGCTGAGGGTCAGAGGTGTTTTAGAGGTTCTGGTGTGTTCTAAAGTTCTGGGGTTCATGGGTGTGATACGGAGGTTCCAGAAGTTCTTGTGGTGTTACTAAAATCTGGGGGGTATTGCTGAGGTTCTGGAGGTGCTCTGGAGGATCTGGGAGTCCTGGGGGTATTGCTGAGGTTCTGGGGATGCTGCTGGCTCTCCCAGCGCTCCCAGCCCACTGCGAGCTCCTTTTCAGTTCAGCACTTTGCCCTTTGAGGATTTCAATAACCGTGGGCTGCTGAAGGCACACACGTGGGCCTCTGCTCCTGGACACCAAAATTCCTCAGATTTAATCACCTTGAACAAAAACACGGTGAGGGAGGAAGCCCTGCCCCAAGGCCTTCAGGGGTCAGCTCCAGCCCTACCGGCAGGGCAGGGCAGCTCCATGCCAGGCCCAGGTGGCAGATGGCCTCTCCCTGCTTAAAGCCCAAAAGCTCTTTGTGACCTTCTCCCACAGCCATCAGGGCTCAGTCCCTCCCCAGTCTGTGCCCAGCTGGGAGCCCTGCTGGCCTGGGCTGCTCCTTGGGTATTGGTGTCAGCCTCATCTGAATGTGCCTACCTGCTCTCATGCAGGCCCTGATGTCTCCTTACCTCTCAGACTCCTGTTCTGAGATCTCTAAGACATTTACACCTCATTCTTGCTACCATCGCTGATCTTGTCTGACCTTAGGACCCTGATCCAGGACCCCTCCTCAAGGAAGCCTATAAGACTCCCCAAGACAACCCCTTCTTCCCCCTCTCCCCCCCTCTTCTTTGAGCTTCTATATCCTGTCTCCCAAGCACCTCCACTCTCTAGGCCATCCTCTCCTGATGGCAGGTGCCAGTCTCCAGTCCTTCTGGGTACGAGTTCCCCTATACAGCCAACTCCAGAGGGCAGGCCCTGGACTCTGCCACCAGACCTGTGGAGAAATTGTTCAGGAGCACAGCATTACCCTCTTTCTCTTCTGAATGCTTTTCCTGGCCAGCTTGCAGCCTGGCCAGGTGGTATCTTCCTAACACCTCAGAACTAACCCTGTCTCACACCTCCCTGAAATTTTGCAAGCTCTAAGCTGTTCTAGTTCCAAGCTGAGGAAGGCTCAAGAATTGGGGTGCCCCTCCTAGTCGGAGCTACTCGGCCACCCAGTATCCATGGATCTTCAACCCAGACTGTCTCCCTGCCCCCACTTAAGTGGATGGAGGACCCGGGGGCCAGGAGGGTGGTTGGAAGACAATGGGGGATGCCTGGGCAGTCACAGCCACTCTCTCTGCCTTTGACCTTCTTGATACAACCAGTGTCTGGTGTGCTGGCTCCGCGTTCTTGGGCCATGAAGTTATTGAGGGCAGGCAGTGCAGGCCTTGGGGAGAGGAAAGCCCACAATCAAAGATCCAGGCTGGATGACCCACCCCTCCTGGGACACAGGCAGGGCTAAGATCCCGAGAGACCAAGGGAGTCACTCAAGGTCATGCAGCCAGCCCCAGGGCTCAAACTCACGTAGGTTGTACCCCCACTAGGGTATTTCCCATTGCCATATAGAAGCCCTGCCCTTTCCTTCCGGGCCTGCTCCTTCCCATTTCCAGCCCTGCCCTGACCAAATTACTGGGCACAAGGCTGCCCTCTGTCCACTGTGCCCATACCCGGGGAGAGGGACAGAGCTCACCACTTCCTCAGGGCCTCCCTGAAGGTGGCCTCTGCATCTCCCCTGTGAGGAGGGAGGAGACAGTACGGGCCCTGGGTTATCTCTGGGGGAGGTCCCTTTGTGGGCAGCGTGAGGTTTGGTTCAGGGAGGGGTGCTGTGGGGAAAGGACTGTGACTGGGCTTGGCCTGTGCCCCTCCCTGCTAGCCTGGCCACAGTCCCCGAGGCTGATGGAGGCTCCTTCGGGCAGCCTGAATGTCTTTCCTCCGTGCCCAGTTGGGTACCTCAGCCCTGCTGAAATGGCCCCTCCTCAGCGGGGGCCTTCCCTGACCATCCCCCCTAAGGTGCCAACTATGCCTCTCTTCTCTTATCCACTTTATTTTTCCCCTCAGCACACCTGACGCATGTTTTGTCTCCCTGCTGTCCCCCGCCACACATTAGCTTCCGGGGGTATAGGACTTTATCTCCCATGCTCGCAGCTGTATTGTTGGCATGTAGAATCTTGCCTGCCGCATAATCGGCGTGCAATCAGTATTTGTTGAATGAACGAACGAACCAGACTGGAGAGGCAGCTTCAAGCTTCCTCCAGGAAGCAGTTCCTGCCGGGCGGAGTTGTCCAGCTATGAACATCTCTGCCTCGTAGAGAGAGAGGGCTCCTCACCACAGGCTGGACTCCAACTGTTGGCGGTGTCACGAGGAGGATTTACAACCAGACAGCAGTTGGTTGCTCCCTAAGCAAGGGGTCGGAAAGCCCTGAGCAGTGAAGGGAATGCAGGGCCCTGGAGCTGGAGCAGAGGGCCCTGGAAAGCCTGGCCGGGAAACAACAGCTGGTATGGGACAGGTCCATGGAGGAATGGTGGTTGCCAGAACAAGCAGTGGCTTTGCCAAACCCAGTCGATAGAGTCTGTCACCCCAGAGCCCTGTACTGTGCACCAGGGGGAGGAGGGAGGAGGGGGGGAGGGGAGAGAGGCAGTCTCTGCTGTCAGGAGCTCACAACTAGGCCTGGGAGGTGGGTTTCATCCCAGGTTCCTGGGGTCAGAGAGGCAGTGTGGGCTTCTGCATGGCATCATATGAAATTCAGGTTCGCTTTGAGCTAGCAGATGCTGGCATCTCTGTGGCGGGAGGGAGTGGGGTTGCTATCTGGGACAGAGGGGAGGAAGCGAGGCCTTAGAGCATTCAGGCCCTAACCCTGAAAGGCCCTGGGGGCCTGGCTGCAGAATTTGGATGGGGAGCGGTTAGGATTCCATGCCTTGTCTCCTCTGAGCCTCAGCCTGCTGCTGCTTCTGTCAGGAACATGCTTCCTCCCCCCCACTCCCTCCCTCAGTCCCCTACCCTCACTGCAGCTGACTTTTCCCTGCCCTCAGATCTCTACTTTCTTTAGGAATCCCCCCAATTCTCCAAATTCAGTTTCCTATGGCACACATCAGGGCCAGCTGTGCCTTCCGCTTGTAACCCTCACGGTCTTGAGGTTATATACCTGCTTGTTTGTGACCCCCCACCCCAACCCCAACTGTCAGCTTTCATGTCCCGGGATCCCGAGCAGTGTTGGCACTTAGCAGGTGTTCAAAATTACTTTTATGTGAGAAGAATAAATGGATGAATGTCTTTTTAAAAAGCTTGTTGACTGAATGCCTTAGCTGGGTAGGGCCATGGCTTAGGCCCGCTCTGGGGTATTGGAAGGGACTTCAAAGGTTCAGGGGGCCTGACCCCTGTCGAAAGAAAGGGGCCTGAGACCTGCCCTCTGTTTTCATCTGCATCTTGCCTCCCTTCTGAGCCGGGGTCCGAGGGGGAGAGGAGCTGGCCTGGGACGCCGCTTCTCAGGGAGGGGGGATGGAGGGGAACCCCTGGGCCCCGCTCTCTTCGCTGTCACCCTGCACCCCGGGAGAGCAGGAGGCAGGCGGGGTTCTTGCCTACCCATGGGTCTGGTTGTGTTTAAAGGACTAATTTCCGCCTTGTGGGGGTGAGTTATCTCCTTGTGAAATCAAGTTGGAGAAACAAAAAGGTTTCACCAGTGAGACACATGTTGCCTCGTTCGTGGAGACCCAGGAGAAGGAACGGACCAGCTCGCCTCCCTGTCTCCGCCCCCGGCTCAGCGGCCTCCCTGGGTTGCTGTGATCCGGGACCTGCATGCTGGAGCACTGTGGGGCACCAGGGTGCCGGAGCCTGGGGAGGACCTGGAGGCCGGTACGTGTGTGCAGTCCGGTGCCCCGCCCCCTGGCCATGCCCCTGCCGGGCTCAGGCCACCACTGGAGCCAGGCCCCCACCCCAGACAGGGCTTTGTCAGGGCCAAGGTGTGTGCCCATCACCCAGGCCCAGAGGGGCCAGTGAGGGCAGGCTGAGGCTGGGACCCCAAACAGAAAGGGGGTTGGGCTGGACCCCTGAGAGTGGGAGGGGCAGGCGCCCAGCTGGGAGGGTCTGGCAGGCTGTGCTGAGCCTGCTGCCGGCTTGGCCTTTCATCTCTGCAGCTCCTTCCTCCCTGGCCCTTCCTTGAGTGTCTGTGGGTCTGTCTGACTGGGTTTGGGGCAGGGGAAGGAAAGGGGGGGTCTCTGTGGGCAGCTTGGATTGGACAAACTTTCTTTGAAAATAACCCTTTGTGTGAAGGCCTTCTGGTGGCTGCTGGGACAGACAGGTGCTCCAGCAAGAACCCAAGGGCCCTAAAGGGTACACTGTTCCCAAGTAGATAACTACCTTCTGCGGGGCTGGGTAAGACCCGGCGGAAGGCGAGGGGAGGGGATGAGAGGGGCCCTGCGCCTCCTCCCGTGCCAGCCTCCAGGCCTTCACTCCCACACGGGCTTTTCTCAGAGAGCTCAAAGCAAAAAAGTAACCTTTAGGATTAAAGAGAAACGCTTCTTTGTTTGGGTTTCTTTCTTGTTTCTAAGCCTCTTTTCACATCTACAGCGGCTGTTTCCCTCTTGTGGGGGGAGGTCAGAGGAAAAGGGCTGGAAAATGTCCTCCCAGGCAGCAGGGAACCACACCTCCTCTGGGGCCACAGACGACGACTCCTATGGCAGCTGGTACATCGATGAGCCCCAGGGCAGCCAGGAGCTCCAGCCGGAGGGGTAAGTTGGAACCCCTGGCCCTGGGGGCCAGCAGCGCGGGGTGCGGCAGAGTTACTGAGGTGGGGCTGGGAAGACAGACCCTGGGCAAGCGCTGCTGAAGTGGGCTCTAGTACTCATTTGTTGTGTGGCCCTTGGCAAGTCACAGCCTCTCTGGGCATCAGTCCCCTCATCTGTTATGTGAGAACAATAGCCCTTGACCTGGTGTTGATACTCTGAGGTGGAGACTTGCACCAGGCTGGTCGCCTAAAAAGCACTTGTGTGGTATGTTAAAAATTCAGATTCCTGGGCCCCATACTTGCAAATTCAGATCCGGCTGGTCAGGTGACTCGGTCCTGCAGTCAGGATGGAGGGTACTCGGTGAGCGGTTGAGGGGAGTTGGGCCTGTCTTCAAGGGGTTACTGGTCCCCGCGGTGACCGTATAGGGTGTGGTGGTAGCAAATAGCAGGTCCTCCGGGCAAGCCGAGGGCAGGGAGGCCTGAGGAGGAAAGCCCGGTGGGTGCGTCACTGGGGAAATGTGCTGCCCCTGTTGTCTTTGGCTGGCCATGGAGTCTCCGTGGAGATGAGGAGGCCCTGTGCTCTGGCAGAGGAGTGTGAGCCGCTCCAGGGGAGGAAATGGCCTCAGTCCGGCCCAGTGTGGTCTGAGGCCGTGGCCCGCGGCTGCCTTTCCTCAGACCCTTTCCATCTTTGTTTGGTCTGGGCCCCCTGGCAGAGGAGCCTCCCTGTGCCTCCCGTGCTCCCCAGGCTGCCCTGCCCGCGTGGGCCCCGGAGTGCCCTTCTCCCCTTGCTGTTCCTGGCCCTGGCCCCAGCCCACCCCCCACCTCCCAGCTCCGAGGCTTTGGGGAACTGGGAAGGTGAGGCTGGGGGTTGATGAGCCAGATGTGTGCACATCTGTTCTCCATCAACAACTGAAACCAGGGAGGGAAAAATGCTCACATGCCTCCCCAGGGGCTGTGGCTGTGGCCTGGCCAGGCTTGGGTCACCCAGCAGGGGTGGAGGCCCCACCCAGGCCTGGGGGATGCAGCTGTTGTTTGGAGGACTTGGGGTTCTGACCACCTGGGAAGCAGCTCTGCTCTCAGGAAGGATCTGCCCCTACTCCCTGGCTGCCCTTGAAAGCCCGTGGGCTTCCCCGTGAGTCCCGTGCTGTGAAAGTGCGGGAGGAGAGAAGCAGCAGAATGTGGCCGGGCCAGGAACCCTGCGGGGGCACAGAGCCTGACCTCAGTCTGAAGCTATGTCCTCGGGCGCCTCAGGGCCTGGGCACTGGCTGGGGCCTGGCTTCTGCAGCCAACTCGGTGGCTGGGATATGTAGATATGGCCTCAAAAAAAGTTGGGTGAAGAGTAGGGCGAGGCTGATGCGCAAACTGCCTCTAACGTGGGTGGCATCCAGGATCTGCACCTCCCTTCTCCCGCTGCCCGGAAGGACAAAGAGCTTGTTTGAATCTGCTTATTTAGCCAGACCAAGTCGAGCAGCGTGCTTCCTACTACAGCCCTCAAAGGTGGGAGTGGGCAGATGGGAGCTCAGGGGGATCCCAAGGAGGTGAACTTGGGCTACCTCTCCCTGAGTGAGTCAGACACGTCAGGGAGACGGTGCACCTTTGAGGAAGGAGCTCCTGGCGGTGGTCTCCCCTGCGCCCTGGTGTGCCCCCACAGGCTGGAGTTGGGGCCCAGGGGGGACTGCTGACGGTGCTGGGATGGACTCGGTCTCCTGGTCACACTTACTCTGGTGGCCCCACGGTGCCAGGACCTGGTTGGACAGGTCCGGGGTGAGTCTGATGGGGATGGGATGTCATCTGGGTCTTCTGTGGGCATGGGATTGACCCAGGCAAGCCCAGCTTGTCCTTTTCTACCCCCAGAGGCTCCTCTGGCCAGCTTATGTGCCCAATCTTGCATCTGCCCATGTGTTACCCACCATCAAGACGGAGCTTCCCAGACAGAGCCTGGGGCCACAGATACCCTGTGATGGCCGTACAGGATGGCGCTCACCCCCGCACCACTTCACAGGGCCACTGGGAAGGCAGAATCGGAGGCTTCCCTCACTGCCTGCCCCCCGCCCTGTGAGACCAACACCAGGGTGGTCTGCAGGCCCTTCTGCTTGGGTGGGGAGAGTGTCAGGAAGCAGGGCTTCAGCCCTCCTGGGCTCCCTAGCCCGCAGAGCCCCACTCCAGTCAGCTTTCCCCTCTGACCCAGACAGACGCGCTCTGGGTAGGGCCCTTTGTAGGCTCCTGCTCAGGGCCAAACTTCTAGAAACTTCTTGCTCTTTCCCTGTCTTAGTGTTCTCACCACTCTGCAGTTGGGCGCCTGTCCCTGAGTGTCCAGGACGAAGGTTCGTCCTCCTCGGGCCCCAGCTGCCTCTGGCCCTCACCTCTACTCTGAATAAGGCCCAGAGCTCCGGGTCCTTCTGGAAACTCCCTTCCCTCTGTGCCTCCATATCAAGGCGTGTACATTCTTCCTAAGTATCTCTGAGGTACAGCTTGGCATTCCCCCCCCGCCCCCAGTGCCTATTTATGTGGACCTATTTGGAAATGCTGACATTCAACTGTTTGGGTGTACAGAAATGGCAAGTTTGTACGCTGCAACTTAAAGACTTCTTGCACCCACTCCTTACCTCTAGCCTCTTGGTCAGATGTGGGCCCTGGAGCCAGAGTACATCGGTTTGAATCTTGACTCTGGTGCTTTACTATCTGTGTTACTGGCAAGATGCTTAGCCTCTCTGAGCCTTGGTCTCCTTGTTTACCCAAGGGGGATAATAATCGCCCCCCATCCCCATCTTATAATAACTGAGTTAGTACATGGAGCAAATAATGCCTGACACTTAGTCTATTCTCAGTAAGTACTCGTCACTGCTGCTGTTATTATTCAAATCCATCCAGAGAAATCTAAAATGTAGAGCGCTGCCTGCTCACATGTCCCTGGTGGCTCCCTAGTGCCCCCCATGCCTACCCTCCGGGCTGAGAGCAAATGGAAAGCCTCGCCTTGTCCCCGTCACACTTATCCACTGCCTGTCACCCTGCTTCTTCATGTTCTTCCATCCCTGTGGAGTTCCCTGTCCTCTTTCGTCTGAAGAGATGCTAACCACCTTTCAAACCCAGATCGGATGCCGCCTCCTCTGGGGCCTTGCTCGAGCTTCTCTCCCTCCACTGTACCCTTGAGCACCCGCGTGTGCCTCCGTGAGGACCGAACTCCCCCACCCTGAGGTGGTGTTCTCTGTATCTGTGTCACCCGGCCTGTCCCGTAGCACAGGATGTGGGTCCACGAGCCATTAGCCAAATATTTTCTCAGCCAAATTTCTATTGTTCAGACCTCAAACATTTAAGGGTCCAGAAGTCTCAGAAAAACTGAGCTAAGGGATAGACAGGGGACCCCAGATGGTTCCAAATGGGTCAGAAGTTCCCTCAGATAGGGCCCTGGAGAGGATCCATGGGGTGGCTCCTGGTTTGGGGTGAGTGGGAAAATGGTCTGGCTGCTCCGGGGACAGTGTGCTAAGTCCCTGCCTTGGATGGCCTGTGGCACAGGGTTGAGTAGGACCCAGTCAGGTGAGGAGCAGAGGGCTGCGAGGCCCTGGAGTGATGGCTCTGAAGTCTGGGGCTGGACAAGGGCCCTGCCTCAACTAAACCAGACCCCACGTGCTGGAGTCAGAGGCCTCAGAGCCCTACCACATACTGGAGTCAGAGTGGAGGGTGTGAGGCCCAAGTTCAGACAGTGGAAACCTGATCCCTTACATGGCACTTACCCTGCCCATTAGCTTAGCTCTGCTTTGGGAAGAGGCCAGCTCTGCCTTGCCAAGAAGTTGGACAATGGCCCCTCCACCCCAAGGACAAGCCCAGGTGGCCAGGTTCTGCTTGCTTCTCCCTCTGGGATTACCTGAGGAGAAGCTCAGGGGAGAGCAGGCTGTCCCAGCGGAGAGTTCCAGGGGTCTGGGCTAAGTCTGAGGGGTGGTCTTGGGAGTCCTCTTCCCCACACAACAGGGGGGTGTCCAGGTGGGTGGATGAGCCCCTGGGCAGAGGGCCCCGCCGTAGCATGGAGCCTCCTCTGATACCTCACCCCACCAGAGCTTGCCAGCCTTGCCCACACTGGTGTCCCCCTCCCGGCACTCCCAAGCTCCAGCTGGGCAAACCAGAGCTCTGCACCTGCCCCGGAGACCCAGGCCTGTCTGTTCTCGCAGATCCAGGGTCAGCCCTGAGCTCAGGATTCCTGCTAAACCCTTGCCACATGACCCAGCTGGGGAAGTCGAGGACTTCACTGTGCTCACTGATCCCTTTGTCTCCACCACAGCCCCACCTCTGTGCTCAGCTGTGGTGAGAGCAGGACCTGTGCCAGGCCATAGGGAGTTTCTGTGGTAATTGGAAAAAGGAACCCCCATATAGATGTACGCAGCTCAGTAGGTGCAGGGCTTGGTGAGCAGTGTGGCCTGGATTTCAGAGCGCACTCATTTGCTTGTGGGGCATCCTTGTGCAGTGTACAGCCTGGCCAGCTGGACATGGAAGTCCTTAATGAAAGGGAAACGAGGAAGGACAGACATGAATCCTGGAAGACCAAAGATGATCATTCCAGGCACAGACACAGACCAAACACAGATACCAGTGAGTGGAGGGCAAATCGTAGGCCCAAGCCGTTGATTGCTGGACCCAGACAGATAGATGCTCAGCTACATTTCTGAGGAGAGGTCTGTGAGGCCTGGAACAATCTAGAAAGTTTCCCAAGGAGGGAAGCCTTGACAGGAAGAAGGTAGATAGGAAGGATCTGGATGAGAAGGAAGAGGGGTTCAGCCTGAGCTGGCCCACTTGGTTTCCCCTGGGAGCCCTGTATCCTTCAGCCTTATAACCTCAAGCTTTGCTTGGGGCCTGCACAACACAGGGCCATGTTGTGACCATGTAGGCCCTGGAATCACCCGGAGAAAGTAGAACTGGACAAGCTTGAGTAGATCAGGGGGTCACGGCATTTGTGGGTGGAGCCCCAGTGTAGACAGCCTGGAACCCTAGACCTGGCTGCGGGGACGCCCTGCTCAGGCCTGACCCGGCCTTTTCTCTGCAGAGTAGAGCCCTCCTGCCACCCCAGTGTGCCGCCCGGCCTCCTCCACACCTGCCTGGCTGTGCTGTCGGTGAGTCTAACCTAAGCCCAAACTGGTTTGCAACCTGCTGCCAGCCTGGGCAGGGGGCTTGTGTTCTGGTCAAGGGGGTTTCTGGGAGCCCCAAACGTGGGAGGGGGTATTTGGGAGTTCTTCTAGGGTGGGGACCCAAACCAGGAAGCAGGCCCAGTTCGACCCCTCGGGCTTTTGTCTGGTGCAACATGAATGTACACTGGGAGGTGGGGGCTGTCCTGGGGGCTGAGCACGAGCCCCCAGACTCAGCCCCTCAGGAAGGACCTGCGCACTCCAAACCCCCCTGTGCTCTCCTTCCAGATCCTTGTTCTCCTGCTCCTGGCCCTGCTAGTGCGGCGCCGCCAGCTCTGGCCCCACTGCGGGCGCGGCAGGCCTGGACTGCCCAGGTTGGTACTGAAGCCTGGGCACCCCCAGTCCAGGGGCCCAGCAGATAGGGGCACTCTGGGAGGGTGGTGATTTGTTAGGTCCTTGAAGCCAGCTCTGGCCTCAGTGACACCCCACCTCTCGCAGCCCAGGGGCTCTTCCCACTCCCACCCAGATCTCCAGATTTAGTCAGAACCCCCAGAGGCAGGGGGAGGGACCCACTGAGGCCCACCTCTCTAGACCCCAGGGAGGCACAAGCCCACTAGGGCCCAGCCCCACAACAGACCTCCTCAGGCAGCCCACGGTCTGGACAGGCCATGACCACCCCACGCCCCTGTGACCTTCCTTTCCCTGAGGGTATCACCTGGACTCTGATGTTAAAGGCAGATTTTGAAGGAATGGCCTCTAGTTCCTGTGGCTAGAACCTTCTTTCCCTCTCTCCTTCAGTCCTGTAATGCTACATCCTGGGCCAGGAATGGCCTTGAGGAAATGGGACTGGGCAGGCTTATGCGGGGTGGAGGGAGGTGGAGGGTGCAGCCCCTGCGTTGAAAGCCTTGCACCGCACACCAGGGTGGGTTCCACCTTGCTGTTTTGGTAGGGAACTGGCCAAGGGTTTCTGCCCCACTGGGTGGCCCAGCAAAGAGCCTGCCCTGCCCGGGGGAGGCCTGAGGGCAGCAGGAGGCAGGAGGGAGCCCTCAGGGCATGAAACCAGCTGGGCCACAGATGCTGAGGGCCTGAGGGGCCTGCCAGAGCCCAGAGGGGCGGTGCCTGGGACAGCTGTGCCCTCTCTCTGCCCTCTGTCCCGGGCCACAGCCAGGCCAGGGCGGCGGCTTTTGTGCAAGGATGTTGTGACTCTCTGAGCTCTCTGAAGGTTTGCCAGCCCAGATAGACTGATTAGTGTGGAGGCGGCTGTTTCCTGGAGCTTCCGGAGTGGGGGTGGGGGGCGGGGAGCAGCTCTCAGGCTTGTTTCCACCGCGTGTGTACTCGAGGGGCCCTGCCTCACTGCTGCGGGGCCCAGAACCTGGCACAAAGGACGTGCTTCTCAAATGTTTGTGGAATGAGTGGATGCAAGGGACTTAGTTTCCCCATCTGGGCAGGGGGATTGCCTCTACCTGCCCACTTTATGGAGTATTGTATGAGGTAGTGGGGGTGCAGGACCTGAGCAACTCCCTCCTGTCCTGTCCCTGCCTCTGCACCAGCCCGGTGGAGTTCTCAGCTGTGGACAGACCGTGGACGGTGCCCGCCGCTGTCTTCACAGTCCTCTTCAGCTCCCTGTGTTTGCTGCTCTCTGCCGGGGACCCCCTGCCCTTCCTGACTCTGGCCTCACCATCCAGCCACGGTACCCAGTGCAGCTGCGACCCTGGGGCTGGATGGATGGGATGGGGTGGGAATCTGAGCACTGGGGCAGGCATCTTCTGCAGGAAGCTAAGTAGCTTCCCATCCCAGCCAGGAGCCGCCACTGAGAAGACACTGTCTTGGTACCCTCCCCAACTGTCCTGCCACTGGGCCTGCAACCTCCCCTTTGCTGGCCCCAGCCACTGGGACAAGAGTGCCCTCTCTACCTCCTCCGCTCTTGTACAAACCCCACTCCCAGGAGGGAGGGAACCCTTGTTCATGGGCACTGGCTGAATCCCCCAGACTGCCCAGCCCCACGTGACAGTGAGAGAGGCTGGGAGGGGGCAGGGAGGGGTCCTGGACATTGAGCCGGGCTCGAGGAAGTGATGGTAACGAGGAGAGCTTCCTCAAGACCGGCCACTGTTCTGCAGCGTGACCTCCTTAGGTCATCCAGTCCTCACAGTGACTCTGCAACGTGTGGCTATTAGCCCCATTTCCCAGTGGAGGGTGCTGAGGCTCGGAGAAGGGAATGACAATAAGGTGTGGCTCGATATACTGAGTACTAACTCAGGCACTGCACCAACACCTTACATATACACCTTCTCATTTCATCTTGGCTAATGTGCTGCCATTATTTCCATTTTACAGATGGGGAAACTGAGACTCCAAGAGGTAATTTGCCCAAGATCACAGGGCTAATACTAGTCAGAGCCCAGATTTGAATGCTGGGCATTTGCCCATTGAACCAGCCGAGGGGCTTGGGAGATGGAGGCAGGAGAGAGGCCTGGGAGGGCTGGACCCCGGCCCCCTCATCTGCCCTTCCCTCATGTATCTCTCTGCCTGTCTTGTCTTCCAGGGCCCTGGAAGATGCTGGCCCTGCTCTATTACCCTGCCCTCTACTACCCGGTGGCTGCCTGTGCCACAGTCAGGCATGGAGCCGCACACCTGCTTGGCAGTGCACTGTCCTGGGCTCACTTTGGGGTCCAGGTCTGGCAGAGGGCAGAGTGTCCCCAGGCGCCCAAGGTAGCCACTGACTCATGACCTGGGAGGTGGGGGCTGTACTGGGTGCTGAGGGGGTGTCCCAGAGGACATAGGGGGGCCCCTTTCATCTCTGTTTATATGCTGGGCTTCCCTGCAGCTGCCTGCCACTGGGCAGAGAGTCCCACTCCTTTGAACACACGCCGTTCCAAGCTGTGCTCCTGTGTGGGAAGAGCAGGGGACAAGGCAGCTGGGTGCGCCCTCAGCAGCTTCCAATGTGGGAGGGGCAAAGGGCAGGGGAGGGAGAAGGAGAAGCCTGAAGCCCCCCGTTAGTGATCTTCAGCCTTCTTCTGGCCAGGCTGGAGTGGGATGAAGAGAACAGGACAGCAAGCACTAAGTTGGGGGTTGGTCTCAGAGGGCTATAAAGAAAACTCCAGAACCTCAGAGTCTGGTTCACTGCCTGCTGGCAGGCGGAAACTGCTCAGTCGAGAGCCCAAAGGTGAGGGTCTAGGTTCAGAGCCAGGCAGCCTGGGTTTGAACCCAGCCTCCTGACCCCCTTGCTTCCCGTCTCCCTTCCACAAACATATGTGAAGCACATATTCTGTACCAGGGACATTTCTAGGCACTGAAACAACAGCTGTGAACAAGACAGACGAAGTCCCTGACATCCCAAGAGCTGATTCCAGAAGGGGAGACACAGGAAATAGACAAATATACAAAATCATGCCAGGGAATACTAAGCACTTCGAGGAAACCATGCCACCATTGTGGGACTCAATTTGCCCCCTGTAAAGGGGGTCAATAACCAATCCCTCAGGGCAGAGGTGAAGGCTAGCTGGTTTCTTTGAGAGCAGAGACCTGGTACTTTTCACCACCCAGAACCTGGCATATACTAAGCTCCCAATAACAATGTACTGAATTAACAAACAAATGAACGAATGTATATAAGGAGCCCAACAAAGGAAGCCGCAGCACCAGAGGTAAGGCATGCACGGCCCTGGTGTCCAGGTCACCAACCGTACAGGGACAAAACTAGGTCTTCGCCTAACTGCCAGAGTCCTGCGTCCAAAGTGCTAAGAACATAGGAACAAGAAAGTTGGAGTCAGGCCCCACGTGAGCCCCCCATGGCAGGTGGAAGGAATTAAAAAGCTCCTCTCTGAGGCTCGGGTAAGGGCTGTGGGAGCCCGGGAGTTTGGGGAGATGGGAGCACCCCTGCAGGTCTTGAGAAGGGCAAGTGGGCGTGTCTGTGCCCAGTGGCCCAGGCTGTGGGGAGTGTGTGTGTGATAGAACCAGAAGCCTTCCCCTGGCACCTCAGACCACCCTCAGGGCCTGCTGCCAGGTGGGAAGGGAATGGCACCACTCCTTCCCACTGGGGGTTTGGACAGTCTTCCACTGGGGGAAGAAGGCAGATGGTAGGAATGTCTGGGTGTCTGTCTGTCTGTCCAGATCTACAAGTACTACTCCCTGTTGGCCTCCCTGCCTCTCCTTCTGGGTCTTGGATTCCTGAGCCTTTGGTACCCGGTACAGCTGGTGAGAAGCTTCAGCCATAGGACAAGAGCAGGCTCTGAGGTAAAGGGGCGGGGCTGGGCCGGGATCCTACTCAGCACCCAGGACACCTCGGACTTGCCGTGTCTGTCGGCCCCCTGTACACAGCCGTGCTCAGTGCAGGGCTGAGCACATAGCAGGGGCCAGAAAATGTGTGCAGGGACTGGTTAGTTCTGCCTCCCTGGAAAGGCCAGGCCAGGTCCTCAGTGGGCACCCAGGATACCCTGGGCACCACGATGCGTGCCCATGGGGTTCAACAAAGGAAAGGTGGGCCAGCAAACAGGGAAGCCAAAGCTCTGTTTCCGAAACACTGAGGATCCAGCTGGAGAAATGAGAGGCCAGGAGCTTCGTGCCTGCTAGGGGCTCCGCAGATGTTGACATGATCTTTGGGGACCATGATCTGACAGGCCCTGGGGCAGAATGGCATTATGATTCAACTCTAGTTTATACTGTTGGATAATGTCAGCTAAAGGTGGGGGGTGCTGGGAGAATGGAGGCAGGCTAGGAGGACTTCCTGGAGGAGGTAGAATTTAGCAGGGGCCTGGAGGACAGGGAGGATCCGCAGAGGGGAGAGAACAAGGAGAAGGCACTCTAGGCATAGGAAAGAGCCTGAGCAAAGGGCAGAGATGGGCTGCATCTTGTTTTGTTCATGACTAATTTGCAGCCCTGGGCAGATCTTAGCACTTAATAGATACTGAGCAAATATTCCTGAAGGTTTGGATAGATGGGTGCGTACATCATGGTGAGAGAGAATTCTTACAAGATACTACAGCCTTATTAAGAAACCTAAGCACCTCCCCTGCGCCAGGCCCGGGGCCCGGGGCCCTGGGCTCAGCTGACTGTGTCTGCTGTTCGGGGGCCCCCAGTGCCCCAGTGCACCGGGGGAGATGGAGGCCGCAGCAGGTATTGGCAGTGCGATGTGAGGAGTGCACTGGGCTCATCTGGATGAAGGGGTTCCTTCCTGGCGAGGGGGGAGGAAGGGGAAACTGCTCCACCGAGGCCCCAAGTGGGAAGGATAGGACCAAGAAAGGCTGAGGACCCAGATGCCAAAGGGCTTGGTTGCTCTTCAAATGGGGAGGGTGGAGGAAGGGCTTGCAGGGCGGCTCTGGGGACAGACAGCTGGTGCCCAGCTAGTTGCTGACATATGGAAGCTGGATGGGAGCAGGTGTGCCGGGGACGGTGTGCAGTTGTGGGTGTGCAGCCCTGAAGGGTCTGGGGGGGCAACTGGAGCTCAGCAGAGGGGCCAGGACCAAAGCTGAGAAGGAGGGAGGTCCCTGAGGCAGGCTGAAGAGTGAGAGGAGAGAGGGCGGGTGGGCTCGGGCTCTCCAGGGGCCGTCCTGGGTACCCCATGAGCCCACCTGGCTATGGGCTTGGCTCTCACGTGGTGGCAGCAGGGGCCTCCGTGCTCGTCACTACTGCCCTCCTGATGCTCAGGCTCCTCTGCAGAACCCTGTTTCCCCTCCCCTTTACAGCTGGCTCAGAAGAGGGGAGCGGCTCCCCCAGGAGAGACAGTGCACCAGGCACATCTCCACCTCGCTAGGTCCCTTTCTTTCCTCTCCCAGGGACCTTTGCTCGTTGCCTCTCTCACCATTGCATGCCTTTCCTCTTGCGAAATCTTGGGAGAAACAAAATCCTCTTTGGCCCTTGGTCAAAGAGAGTTAAGCCTCAAAGAACAGAGTCAACCTCAGAGCTGACCCATACCTGCCCTGGATCTCAGGGTTGCCATGGCAACAGGTGACAATAGCCTTGTTCTCCTAATGGGCAGGGGCAGGGGCTTACCTCATCTTACAAGGGCCTCTGCCACTTGGCAGGCAGCTTAAGGCCTGGAATGTGGCTTAGACAAATCAGGTCGCCCTTGTGATGTCCCTTGAGCAGGAGGACAGGCCTCAGGTAATCTGACCTGGAATGGCCCCTCCTGTGTCCTGGTCAGGGATGTACCCATGGAACATAGGCTCCTTTTTTGCCCCAGTCTCAGGTAGCAAAGCCAGAGGGCCAGGAGGGAAGCAGTGACGAGATGCAACTGAGGAAATGGAGGAGAGAGTCGGGAACAGACCTTAGGAAGAACTTCCCAGCATCAAGTGTTCTTAGGAGACTGATTTGTATCTGTGGAGGAGAAAAGGGCAGCTTTTGGGGGCCTGGACCTCAGCCCCACAAGGTCAGCCCTTCTCCAACTCCACCACAGCCGAGAGGTTTTTACAGAGCACCTACAGGGCATCCACTGTGGCATCCTGGGCCAGGGTCTCAGGAATGGCTCAAGGCACGTCACCCTTTTGCCATCTCCACAGGGGCTGCAGGGCAGCTACTCTGAGGAATATCTGAGGACCCTCCTTTGCCGGAAGAAGCTGGAAAGCAGGTGAAGTCCTAGACACACCCTCTCTGGGCCAGTGGACAGGGCTGAGTAGGCAGGCTTGTTTGGAGACCTGGCACCGGGCAGCAGGATGGGCAGACTGAGGAATGAACCAAGCTCTGGGGCTTATGCTCAGGGCAGGGGCTTCTCCTGAGGTCTGCTGGGTCTTTCTGCAGCTCCCACACCTCCAAGCACGGCTTCCTATTCCGGGCCTGGATCTGCTTCAGACACTCCATCTACACTCCACAGCCAGGTATGGGGTGGGGAGCTGAGGTCAAAGTGACAGGTGACCTCACCCCCCTCGGACAGAACAACTGCAGTGGAAGGTCAGCTCCTGCCCCCCAGGCCCTTGTCATCAGGAGGGACAATGCCCAGCTTGGGACAAGGGGAAGCACCTAGAAGCCCTGGACTTTACCCCAGGCCCCTTGGGCGGGGCTCCCAGGCCTGGGTGGTGCTTGGGGCTCAACACATCCCTCGTTTTGGGGACTGCAGGATTCCGACTCCCTCTGAAGCTGGTGCTCTCAACCACTCTGACAGGGGCTGCCGTCTACCAGGTATGTCCTGCCCCTGTAGCAGTCTTTGCGTCTGGACCACTGTTCCAGACCCCCAAGCCTGGGATAGCTCAGGCCCAGCTCAGCTCTCCACAAGCCCCACCCACAATCCTACTGAGCTGCTTCTGGACATTTGGGAATGCTGGCCTACCCAGAAGGGAGGGGGTGTCAATTCTGGCAGGGCTCACGTAGAGTCAAAGCATGAGTTTTGGAATCCCATAAACATAGATTTAAATCCTGGCTACATTATTTACCTTCTCTGTAACCTTGGGCAAGTTACTCAACATCTCTGAACCCATTAGCTCAGCTGTAAAATGGAAGAAATAGAATTACTTTCTTTTTTGGGTAGTTGGAAAGACTTAATGAAATAGTATGTGTTTGATAAATTCCTGCCTTAAAAAAACAGCCAAAATTCTAGGACATAGGTATGATTTTTCTCCATTCTACAGATGTGGGAAATTGAGGCTCAGAGAGGTGAATTTAACTTGGCCAAGTTCCTACAGTTAATATCTCAAGGTAGCCAAAATTTGAGTCAATGCCTGTGCCCATTTATAGAATGCTTTGCTTTCTCCAACATGGACAAATTGGAAACTTTATATTCTGAAGTTTAGATAAATAGACAGAGAGGGGTGTAAGTAACAGTTATGCGGCTTGAGAGCCTATCTGTTTGCAATGTGCTGATTAGAGTCATGGGGACACTGCTCTGAGGGGCAGGTAAGCACCTCGTGATGGGTGACAGGCATGTGGACGCAGCCCGTGCGCTGCCATGGCTTCTCCCTGTGGGCTCAGAAAACACTTGTGGGATGCGAGTGCCTGGTGTCAACACAGCCAGGCCCTGGCACCCTCATGCCGGGGCTTTTCCAGGTGGCCCTGCTGCTGCTGGTGGCTGTGGTGCCCACCATCCAGAAGGTGAGGGCAGGAATCACCACGGACGTCTCCTACCTGCTGGCCGGCTTTGGGGTCGTGCTCTCGGAGGACAGGCAGGAAGTGGTGGAGCTGGTGAAGCGCCACCTGTGGGCTCTGGAAGGTGAGGCCGCCTGGGAGTTGCCAAGGGCCCCCAGCGGGGACACGAGCTGGATACCCAGCTCACCCCAGCCTGCCAGGGACATGCTGGGTGCCCTCGGACATGGTCCTTCCCTTCTCTGGGTCTCAGTGGCCTCGTCTCCAGTTGGGGTGGTTGGAGCTCCCGGTTCCGAGTCCCTGAGACCTGAAGGGGCCATCTCAGCAGCCCTGCTTGCACCTGTCCCCACTGTCCGCCCAGGTCTCCAGGCGGGGGGCTGGGGAAGGCTGCGGTATGTGTGGGTGGGGGGGCAGCCCTAGGGCCTTTGCTGAGGGTGGGGAAGAGGAAAGGAGGCAGTGAGGTGGGCCGGTGGGCCGGGCTTCTGAGCTAATCCCATGGCAAGTGGTGGTCCCTGCCCCCTGGCCCCCCTGGCCTCCCTGCCCTCCCTGGCCATCTCCTTTCTCCTTCCCTCCCTTGACAGTGAGCCCCTGAGCCAGGGAACCACACCAGCCTCCCCTTCTGGGGTCTGATGCCCCCTCATAGCCCTGTAATCTACCTACCCCACCTCCCCACCTCCCCAGCGCTTCTGTGAAGGAGGCTGAGAAGTGTCCCCACGGGGCACATGGGGAAGGAGCCTCCTCCAGTCGTACAGCCAAGTAGAAGTGGATCCAGGAGAAGAACACAGTCTCCTGACACCATGGCCGGGGGTCCTCTCTAGCCCCCCAAGACAAAGCCTGTGATCAGGAGTCACGGGGCCTGCGCCCTCTGCTGACCTGAGAGTCCCAGGTGGGCGTAGGCACGATGGTTGGAGTTAAGGTTGCCAGCCTTGCAGGTGGAAGTGTGGTTTCTCTGAAGCTGTTCCTGACCGTGAACATCATTCTCATCCCACAGACCAAGCACACTGAGAATGGAGGCGGGCGGGAGCCGGGGAGGGGGGCGGTGGGCAGAGACGTCTGCAGGGACTGTGTCCTTCCCTGACCACTACTCCCCCCACCTTCCCGAGCACCTCCAGTCCCACAGCAGAGGCTACCCTGGAATCACAGCTGGGGTCCATAAGCTGGACAGAGACAAATTCTGGGTGCGCTGAAAATGACATCTCCAGTGAGATTTTACAAGGTGGCTGCAACCTGGGCCCCAGGCATGAGCAGACGTGCCTGACCTTAGCCCACATCCAAGCTCAGACCTTGCCTACAACAGCCCTGTTATACCCGAAGCACTGATCCCATCTCACAGAGCAGGAAATCAAGGCTTGGAGGCAGGAAGTGGCATGCCCAGGACAATGGACTCTGCCTCTACCCACCACACCTGACAGTCATAACCACATGCGACAGTTTCCAAGCCCAACTGCACCCGCTATGGATCTTCTTGGATGCAGGGGCCAAACAGAGCAATTTGTACTTCCCAGTTTGCAGATGAGGAAAATCGAGGCCCAGGAGGATTAGAGAGATCCCCAGAGCCACTCAAGCCAGGGGTAGAACTGAGATGAGATCTGGGATTGGGGGACCTTTGTTCTGTTCTTAGCTGAGGAGCGAATGTCTTCTGAGCTCTGAGAGCCTGCTTTCGGAGTGCCCACTGGGCACCTGGACCATAACCTGGCTTCCTTAACAGGAATCTCAGGCTCAAAGTCTGAGTCCACCGTCCCCACCACTTTATGCCTGATTTGACGAGCTTAGAATTCCTGCCCCATCACTTACAAGCTGTTAAGTGGCTTGGGCAAGCCACTTCACCTCTCTGGACCTCAGTGTCCCTACCTGCGGAACAGGTGTCGGAGCTACCAAGGCATCCTATTCTTGAGGCCCTTGACTGGGTTGGGGAAGGCAGCATTGTCCCCAAAGCAGGGCCTAGCAGGGGGCAGGCGCAGGGTCCCAAGGGAGGCAAAGAACAGGAAGGTTTTACAGATACCAGGGGTTGGAGGGACCTATATTTGTGACCAGTCGAAGGAGAGAGAAGCAGGATGGAGATGGAAGGCAAGGCTGGGGCCAAGGAGGCGTGCTGACCTTTCGTTCCATGTTATTCTGTCCACTCTCTTGCACAGGTTCAGCAAGTAGGTTCATTTCCTGGCAGGAAATTGCCCAGAAGGTCCTTTTGCTGGTGCTACGCTGGCTCCAGAAGGGCAAATGGAACAGGGCAGAGCTGCGCATGCCCAGTGCTTTCTTCTAGCCTTATTTTTTCAGAAAAGTACCCCCTCTTGCTACTGGAGGAGTGAGCCAGGGGCAGGTAGAGAGGCCCCAGGTTTCTGTAGCAATTGTTTTCAACCCTGCGCACGCCTGAGAATCACCTGGTGATACTGAAAACATCCCAAGGCTCAAGCCCCATGCCAGACTGCAGGAAGCATGAGGGTGGGGCCCAGCCTCTGTGACTGAGCAAGTGACTCCGATGCAAGCCCAAGTCTGAGAGCCACTGCGGCAGGCATTCAGCACCCCTGGGCCAGTTGCCTGATTTCAGTCAAGTGCTGACTGAAATCGGTCTTCATACTGGAATCCCCAGAGTTGCTTTCACAAAAGCTAACGACGGGGTCCAACACCAAGAAATTCTGGTTTCATTGGTCTGGGGGGTCAAAAGCTCCTGGTGCTCTAGTGTGCTGCCAGGGCAAGACTCACTTTTCAGCTCCTGCAGCTCCATGGGAACAGTGTTTGCCCCCACTCCTGAGTCTCTGGTTGGGGCACAGGAACCAGCACCATTCCCTGAGCTGACAAGGTCGGGCACAGGCACCTGGGCTTGTGCTTGGTCTGTTTGGAAGTGGTTGCCAGTTTGGTGCCCTCCCTTCCTTATGGTGTGTCTGGCCAGTCGGGCCCTCTCTCTGAGCCTCAGAGTCCTCATCAGGCCAGTGCTGCCCCATAGGGTCCCTCTATGCCACAGAACCAGGAAGGATGTGGATGTAGGTCAGGGGGGTTGCAGCCTTGTATCCCTGTGATGCTGAAATACCTAGTCTTGTTCACAACACATCGTGCATTCTCCCCAGATGCTGAGGATACAGCAAACTCCTTTTATCTGTGGGCATGGCTGGGGTGGGTGGGGAGCTGGGGAGGGGCCACACTGAGAGGAGATGGGTACTGGTGGGCACCTCCCTCATTCTGACGGACTCAGGCCGCACTAACTTGGACTCACATCCTCTGTGCCTTGAACAAAGGCTGTTGACACAGGCTCAGATGGGGTCTCACAGCTCATGTCATGCTGGGAGAGGTGTGCCTGGCCCAAGCAAGCTGAGTTTGGGGAGACCAAGTGACCCCCTGAAGGCCAAATGGCCAGGAAGGGAGTCTCGCTGGAGGTCACACAGCAGCAGCAGCAACGAGATCAGGGTGAGGGCCAGGTCTGCAGCCTCAGAGCCGCTTTCTCCCTACCCTGGCCTCCATATGTCACCTGAGGGATGGGACGGCTGAGGTGGTTGACTTACACTGCATCGGGGAATGTGGGATGCGGCAGGAGGCCTCTGCTCAGAGTGGGGTGTGGGCAGGGTACCACCCAGGTACCGCCCTGGCAGCAGTGTGGGGGCTCCCAGGAGACGCCCCAGGCCCAGACCGCTCACTTAGCTCCCTCTCTGCCCTCCAGTTTGTTACATCTCGGCCTTGGTCCTGTCTTGCTCACTCACCTTCCTTGTGCTGATCCGCTCGCTGGTGACACACAGGTGGGTGGCAGGCTCTGGCTCCCTCGCTGTGGACGTGGGGAAGAGACTGCAGGACCCCTGACCCAGGGGCTTGTGGGAAAGCCCTGGGGCTGGAGGGGGGAGTAGCCGCTGAGCCCACCTGCCCAGCTGCCCTGTGGCAGGTGGAGAAGGTGGGCCTGGACTTGCCCGCAGGGTGCACCTGTCTGGGAGTGCCATGCCACGGGGCAGGGCTAACTAGGGGCTGGTGCGTGGACTTCGCCCTGTGAGAAGGAGCAGCCTGGGTGGGCTGATTCAAAAGAGAGGGCATCTTGGGAAAGCTGGCATTCTACCTGGGACTGGAAGGAGAGGTGGGAGCTGAGGGAGGAAGCCCCCTGCAGGCAGGAGGAGCCGAGGAAGGGCACAAAGGCCGGGGTGAACCTCAGCTGTGCGAGTGTGGGGGAGAGGTAGCCTGGCTGGTGTTGGGGCACTGGAGAGATTGCCGTTGGGCACTGAATGCCAGGCTGCCTCACTTGCCCTTTTGTGGTGAGTGATAATGAGCTCTGAGGAGTCGTGAGCAGAGAGGGAGAGAAGGTTTTGGCTGGGAGCAGGGTGGGTAGGAAGGGGGGTCCAGGCACTTAGTGGTGTCAGAGAACTGCTCCACATGCCCTGTGCATTGTCAGGCCTTGGGGTTCCTGCCCAGGGATCTGTTCCCATAAGGCTGGCCTTGCTAGGCTGTCATTCAAGGCCCCCGAGCCTCTACCTGCCTGAAACCTTGCTTGCCTCTTGCCCCGGTGGCTGAGCTGCCAGTCACTTCCCATTCCTACCATTGTTCCTGACTTTTCTGACTTGGCATAGGTTTTGAGCCTTCTGCCTGAATTTGTCTCCTTGATCCCCGCCCTGCCTCCCACAGCTTACTCTCATTTATCCCTTAAGACACTGCCTCCTCCAGGAAGCTCTCCCTGACCCCTCAGGCTGGGTTAGTAGCCTCCACTGGGCTCCCCCAGCCCTAGGCTTCCCTGCCCAGGCCATGGGTTGTAAAGAGATAGAGTTCAGCCAGAGGCTGGTCCAGAGAAAGAATTTAGGGGATGCGTGCGCTCTCTGAGATCCCCGCCTTCCTTGCCCCCACCCAGGGCCAACCTTCGAGCTCTGCACCAAGGGGCCGCGCTGAGCCCGGGTGCCCTGCCCCGGAGCCCCCACCTCTCCCGCCAGGCCGTGTTCTGCTGGATGAGCTTCAGCGCCTACCAGGCCGCTCTCACCTGCCTTGGTGAGCCCCTCACCCACACCCTGCCTGGCCTCTGCGGCCCCAGACGCTGGCCCTAGTCAGGAAGGGAAGGGCGCTGAGCAGCCCTTGGCTTCCCCTGACGTAGCCAAGGGCAAGAGGAGAGACCCACCTTGCCTTCCCTGCCCTCAGGAAGCTCATTCAGGTGTCGGGGTGTGTGTGCAGGAGTCCTTGGGGGAAAAGGCACCCCTCACATGAGGACGGCCCCTGAGTGCGACCAGCTGTTTACACGGAGAGTGGGCCCAGGGCTGGAAGGTGGGAAGTTGAAGGGGGCACATTCCTGCTCGTGAGAAGGAGGGCTATGCCACAGTGAGCTGCCTCATAGGGTACTGAGATCCCTGTCACTGGAGGTAGGCAAGCAGGGCTCTGTGGCCATTGTTGAGGGCTGCAAAGGGGGTCCTGCCTTGAGGGTGTTCGATGAGATTAACTTCCAGGAGGCCTCGGAGCTCCGAGTCTCTGATTCTCTCCTTGGGCGCTGCAGTGAATAAGCCCTTTGAAAAGCTGAGGCCAGGGATCCCTAAGCAAGGGCTGATATCCCTCCCACAGGCTCCTTCAGCGCTCACCTCCCGTGGGGAGGAGGGGAAGGACAATCAAGGGACAGAGGAATAACACAGAGAGACACGATTCCTCATCTGGGTGGACTTGATGCCTTTCAAGCCCTTTTGTACACAGTATCCCATGTAAACAATTAGGCAGTTGTTTCTATAGCCGATCATTAGGCATCTACCATGCACCAGGCTCTGCCTGTAGGAATGCAAACGGTAATTTAAAATGCAGTCTTGTCCTCAAGTAGCAACTGGGGGAAAAGTAACATTTGCAAAGCACTTTGTGGTTTTCAGAGTTGCCACAGACATTATCTCACTGGATGCTCACAACAGCCCTCTGAGATAGGGGCCCTATCTCATTTTATAGAGGAAGAAACCAAGGCTCAGAGAGGTAAAGTAACTTTCTCCAGGTGGCACAGCTATGCAGGGGCAGAGCAGGGATCTGAAACAAGGTCTGCCCAATCCCAAAGCCCTTGGGTTCCTAGGAGTGGTGGGGTGGGCTGGATCCCACAGAGCCTGATGCCTGTGCCCTTGTCCTTACCCTCCCGGCAGGGCTCCTGGTGCAGCAGATCATCTTCTTCCTGGGGACCGTGGCCCTTGCGTTCCTGGTGTTCATGCCCCTGCTCCATGGCAGCAATCTCCTGCTCCTCCGATCCCTGGAGTCCTCTTGGTGAGAGAGGCAGGGGGCTGAGGATTCGAGAACCCCTTCCCAGAAGGCTGCTAATAGTGATGTCCTCCCTATCCCACCTGCAGGCCCTTTTGGCTGACCTTGGCCTCTGCTGTGATCCTACAGAACTTAGCAGCCCACTGGGTGTTCCTGGAGAATCGTCATGGACGACCAGAGTTGACCAACCGGTTCGGTGGCCCCTGGGCTTGTGGCTCTCTCAGGCCCTCAGCCTCTTCTCCTCCGTTTTCTTTCTTGTGCCTTCTCCCTCCACTCCCCTCTCACCCCTTTCTCTCTTGGGGAGCCCAGTGAGTAGTAAAGAGAGCTTGCCTTACCCACCGAGAAAGGGGGTTATGCGTGCCTCCAGAAGACCCCTCTGCTGACCTGTTGCAGGGTGAGAATTCCCGTAAGCCTCTCCCTTTGGGAGTTCTGCCCTCACCTGGGTCCTCTGGGTCTTCAGAAACATGCACCTTCCCCTTTGTAGGAAGGAGGCTAACAGAATTGTTATTTCCGTGTTAAATGGGGAGGCTGTTGGGAGGCCCTCAGTCCCAGGAGGGACTCAGTGTCCATAGATGAGGGACCCAGAGGAGGGAGGTGGGAGATGCTGGGGTCATAGAAAGATCCAGGTGGATTTGGATTTAAGCCCCAGCTCTGCCATTGACTGGTGAGAGAGCCTTAGCTGAGTCACCCAATCTCTCCTGGCCCCAGGTTCCCTTCTACAGAAGGGAGTAATACCACCTGTCTCTCAGGGTAGTGGGGAAGGCAAGCTGGCAGGTCGGGTGCATAGAAGGTGTATTCGATAAATAGTAGGTGCTCACTAAGTACCCAGGATAGAATCTAGACCTGAGTACCACCTTTCGAATAAGGTACTCAGGTCCGGATTCTATCCCACAGCATCTGTGGTCATCTAGGTCTGAGCCTGAGTGAGGGGCTCTGTGTCAGCGTTCCCTCTGTCCATGCAGGCGAACCCTCTACGCAGCCACCTTCCTTCTCTTCCCCATCAATGTTCTGGTGGGCAGTGTAGTGGCCACCTGGCGAATGCTCCTCTCTGCCCTCTACAACGCTGTCCATCTTGGCCAGATGGACCTCAGCCTGCTGCCACCCAGGGCCGCAACTCTGGACCCTGGTAAGGCCACTGGGTAGCGGCTGGGTGGGGGTTGCTCAGGCCTCCCAGGTAGTGAGGGAGGGTCTGCCCCGACTTGGTCTCCGTGTGAATCTTGTCATGGAAGATGTCTGGAACCACGTGCAGTAGTGTGTGCAGTGGGCTCACATGCAGGGTGTGTGCCATGTCTCCAGTGTCTCCATGCACATGTGCAGGGTGTACAGGGAGCTCCCAGTGCGCACGTTAGGGGCTGGCTGTCTGGGGGCCCTCCCCCTCCAGTGTTGTCATCCCCCACGTGCCCCAGGCTACCGCACATACTGCAACTTCTTGAAGACTGAGGTCAGCCAGTCGCATCCAGTCATGACAGCCTTCTGCGCTCTGCTCCTGCGCACACAGAGGCCTTGCTCTCCCACAGCCCCACAGGGCGGCCTCAGACTCCGGGAGGAAGAAGAAGGTACGCCTTCCCGCTGGGGATGGGGCAATTGAGCCCACCCAGTTTCTCCCAGGGGGGAGGCCTGCCCCCTGTCCAGTGGGTGCGAGGAAATGCTCACTTCCTTCTCCCTCAGCTGCCTGTGGGGACAAAGTGAGCATTTCCCAGGTCCGTCTCAGGGTAATTTTTTCCATGCCATGAACACACACTCTTTCACTCCACATGTGAGCACACCCGCCCCCCTTCCCGCAGAATGAGACTCCGTCTTGCTAAAGAGCTCTGTCACCCCCTCCACTACAGGCCAGTCCTTCCTCCCCCCTCAGGCAGTATGTGCTCCCCTCTCCTACTTCCTGGGAGGTGCGTGATAGGGAGGGGACGGTAAGCTGGCCCCAGGCCCTTGTCCCAGTCCCGCCTCTGGTTGCCTCCTTCTGGCTCCTGCAGGGTGACATCCTCAGCCTTCACAAGTGTCCCTCTGCAGCCCAGGCTTCTCCTGATGTCCCCTCTATGAGTCAGCACCTGGAATCCCAGTCTCACTGGCAATCCCCCCACCACACATGGGATTTCCACACTCTACTCAGGTCAGGGTGCCCGGGGACTTGGACTAGTATTTGTTGAGTGACTCACAGGTCTCTCTCTCTCAGGGATTCAGTTGCTGCAAACCAGGGACAGTTCGGCCAAGGGAGCAGGGCTCCGGGCTCGCCAAGGCAGGGCCCGCTGGGGTCTGGCCTACACACTCCTGCAAAACCCAGCCCTGCAGGCCTTCCGGAAGACAGCCCTGTCAGCTGCGCGGGCCAATGGTGCCCAGGCCTGATGGCGGGCAAGGCCGAGCCACCGCATCCTGGTCTGTGCGGGGGGGGCTTCTGTCTCTCCCAGCCCACTCCTTCCCTGGCTTTCCAAGCGTCACCCAGGCCTTGGCAGCCTCTCTGCGCAGCAGCAGCTCTGCCAGCCGGTCCGCAGAACAGGGCCCCAGAGACCAGCTCAGAGGCCAGAGGCCATGGCTGGGTGGAGGTCTTCCCCTGGCTTGGGAACCAGGAGCTTCGGGGGGGCTCTGGTCTGCCCCCTTGGCCTCAGGGAGCCAGCGAGCACTGTGGAGAGGGCAACTGCTGATTTAGACCCTTGGTCCAAGAGCCAGTGGGACCAGGGCGGCCACGGCCAGGCACTTCCCCCTGCTGACTCTGTGCCGGCCTCAGGGCCCCACTGAAGCCTTCTCCTGGCTGGGGCTGGTGATTCGGGCTGGGACAGCCCTGCCTTCCAGCTCACCCCACCTCGGCCTCGGACTTTGCCACCATGGAGCTAGACACACTGCTTCCTCTCTTCTCCCGTCCCCTCTTCTGGGACCTTGTGGCCTGCAAGGCAGCCCAGGAAGAAGGCATGGGCTCCTACCAGGCAGCAAAGTCACGGCTCAAACCAGGCCCCATGCTGAGCTGCCACACTCGAGAGCCTGATATTTTTGCAGTTGATGTGCCTTTAGATATTATGAAAGAGGTTAGTGTGTTCCCTGTAATAAACTGGTCCCTGGGGAATGGTGCTCCTTATGGAGAGGGTAGGAGGGGAGAACTGTCACACTGTCAGTAAATCAACATTGCATTTATGGGGCTTGGGTGGGGTTGTGGCATTCTGGTCACATGTGGGGCTGGGTGGGAGCAGAGAAGGACTCATCGGCGCATCCCCTTGGATGGGGGAGAGACTGGGGATGGAAGGGCAGCTGAGCAGATCCCTTTCCTGCTGGGGACAGATGGCAGGGGAGGGACAAATGGTCGTGGGTCCACTGTGGGTTGGGGACTACAGAGGGTGGGAAGAAGGTGGTCACACCACAGATCTGGTTCAGTTGGGCCTCAAGAAATGTCTGTACAATTAGTGAAGACCAACCCCACCTCCCCACTTGTGCACCCCCATACAGCCTCAAGCACACATGAACTCGGGGTAGGGCCAGGGGCTGGAACCCATTTTTGAAGCTGCCCCATGAGGAGGGCAAAGAGGGTGGCTCTGATCCTACTGTAGCCCATTGAAAAATGTATTCCTGTCCCTGTGTCAGTGACTGATAGGGTCCCAGGGATGAGAAGACAGATTGGGTCTCTGCCCTTAGTGAGTGTGATCTAACCACAGAGTGTGATCAGGCTGGGACACTGGATGCTCAGAGCTGTGTGAGCCAGAGGAGGGGGCCTAGTCCACACTGGGGAGCAAAGGGGAGGGCATCCAGGAAGGCTTTCTGGAAGAGGTGGTACCTGAGCCAACACTCAGAGGCCAACTTAACCAAGTGAAGAATGAGGAAAGGTATCCAGACCAAGGGAACAGCATAATTAAAGGTGCAGAGGATATACATCACAGAGCATTAAGGGAAAAATTAATTAGCAGTTCCAAGAGAGGCAGGGAAGGGTGGGCAATGTCAGGGAGCCAGTCAGAGGGACCATGAAGGGCTGGTTGGGGACTCAGGCTTCACTCCGAAGGCACTGGGGGCCATGGGTAACTTCAAAGCAGAGGGGTAACTATTTCATTCAGAGCACAGCTGTTCCCCAGCTGCCCCTGACTCACCGCTTGGGCCCAGGTCCTACTCAAAGAAGCCAAGCCTGCTCAGACATCAGGGTTAGGATTATCAAGCCTTAGAAAATCAGTTGATTGGATACTTAAACATTACTGTGTTCTACCCTGTCCTTTGTTTTCTGAGGAAACTGAAGCCCAGAGATGGGCAGTATCTTACCCAAGGAGGCACAGCATAGGGGACCTGGCTGTACCCTGCTGCTTCCCACCGGATGTGCAGTTACCCTTGGCATATGCTGTTGGTGGGGACTGAGAGCTGAGGCCTGGGGTGGGGAGGTGCTGTCTGTAGACCAGGAGGAGGGAGGAGAGGGTGGCCAGACTCCAAGGCTCACAGCTGCTACCCCAGGCTCCTCGGGCTCCCTACCTCCATTTGTTGGGCTCAGCAGACTTGGGGGTATGGACAGAGGCCACAGAGCCCCTCCCTTGGGGTCTTACCCCTATGTACAGCACCCTTTGATCTGGAACGGTGGGGGACATGGTGGCAGTAGGGAGACATGTCTCTTCCCTGGCCCAGATCAGGGGTTCTACCAGCCCCAAGTTCTGCATTCAGCTACACGCTCCCTATTCTAAGAGACCCACAGGTTGTTGCCAGGCCTTCACCCTGCAAGTCAGTTACTGATCCTTCTGCTCTGTGGACAAAGACTCCTACAGAAAAGCCTTTCCTCCAGGAACACCATTTCCTCCTCCTGCAAAGGTGGGAAGAAGTACCAGTCATCTCCCCTGGCTTCTCCCTCAAATACGTTCTCTTGTTCCCATTCTCTCTGGGTCTTTCTCTTCCTTTTCTCTCCCCTGCCCTACGTCCCCTGTCTCCTCCCTCCGATCTCATCTCCGTCTCACCTTGTCTGTCCCTCGTTTCCTCTCCATGTCCTAACAGCTCTTCCAGGAGCAGGTCCGGGAAGGGAGGCCACAACACAGATGCTTCAAAATTTGCCCTGCCTCCCCCTCCAAAATGCCTCCTCAGGCCACTGCTGGCAAAGCACCAGGGACCCTAGGGAAGCCCCTGCAATGGTTGTCAGGCTTGTTCCCCCATTTGTCCTGTAAGCTAGTTTGGGGAAAAGCAACATCTGCAGCTTAACTCAGCTCGAGGCCCAACCCCTGGCCCACCACTGGACCCCCCTCCCTCGCCCCCTGCTGCACAGGCGGTGTGGGCCTCACAAGCCTCGTCATGGGTGCACGCGCAGGCTGGTGGCCTGACACTCCAGGTGCCCTCCTATCCCCTACTGGGGGCATCCTAGATCCAGACAGAAGTAGAGCAGACACAGGGGAGCATCAGAAATGCTCTTTATTTTTCTGCTGCCCCCAGGATGGCTGGCCTTCTTGCAGAGGGGCCTCCACAGATGCATACTTGGAGAGAAAGGTGGGGCAGATGTCTAGGAAGGAGGGGCATGGGCTGAGGAGGACAGGTAGCAGACGAAGGCCGTCCTGGGTCCTTTGGTCTTGTCTGAGATGAGAGCAGAGACTGCCAAGCCCTCCCGCCACCAGAGAATGGCAAGAGGCAGAGGAGTTCAAGCTGGTCACCGAGAGCCTCAGAGGCGCGCCAGCCACTGCCCTGAAGTCCTGTTCCTCTCTCCTGTGCCTTGTCTGCTTCAGGCTACCTCCCTGTCAAGCCCCGGGCCTCCGCCCGCAGCCTTCACCGGCTTGTCAGGGCCTGGGCCTGGAATTCCGTCTGAGACGGGCCCCCTTCTGTAGGGCATCGCCTGCTAGCATGCCGCTCTGATGGGAGCATGCGCAGTGATTAGCAGCAATTAGCACCATAGCCCGTGAGTCATGGGATCAAATCTGTCCTAGTCACTAGCTTTGGGCAAGTCTAAAAGTTGGAGGTGATGCGTGTTCCAGAAGAGAGGAAAAGGGGAGGTAGGAAGATGTGAAGCCCCCCATGTGGTCTCAGGAGTTGCCACCCCCAGACTCCTGCAGCGCTGCAAAGGGACATCTACGGTCAGAGGGAGGAATCCGGAGGCTGTGGGTGGGACTAGAAGGAGGCGAGGAGGAGGAGGAGGAAGGGCTGGCCCAGCAGGAGAAGGCCTGCAGGCTGCTGCCCCGGGACCCCTTTGGCTGCTGCGGCCTCAGAGCCCCCAGTGCGGCTGAGGTAGATGATGACAACGTTGTCCTCAGGACCTGATGGCTGGACCTCATTGTCAACTGTATAGCAGCCCTTACCTTCGGTCCCTTTGCCACGGAACCTGTGCCCCAGCGCATCCTCACCACCCTCGCCTGGAGTGGCCAGCGCCACGTTCACTGAGCTCTCTGCACTGCCTAGCTCATTTGTGGCCAGGCAGCTGTACGTGCCCTCCTCCAGCTTGCCAAATTCGGGGATGAGCAGGCTGCCATTGGCAAAGGCCTGGAAGCGTGGCCGGCTGCTGGCTGCCAGGGCACCAGGCAGGGCACGCCCATCAGCACCCACATTGGGGCTGGCAATCTCCACAGTGCTGCCGGGCGTCTGGATGTGCCAGTGAAGCTGGGGGGCTGGCTGCCCATCCACATCACAGTGGAGCACCAGCACGAAGCCAGGCCGCAGCTCAGCGCCATCCTGGCTGGGCTGGTAGGTGAGCCGCACTGAGGGTGTCGAGCAGGGCAGTGGCAGGAGGCGGTTCAGTGGTGTGCCCTTGAGCACCTGGGGTGAACTGCAGGTGATGTTGTCCTGCTCCGGGATGGACACGGCCATGGTCAGGGCCCACGTCTTGAACCACATGATGCCACAGGTACAGTCGAAGGGGTTGTCATTGATTTGCAGGTGAGACAGCGCAGTGAGTGGAGTGAAGGTGCCCTCGGCCAGTGTGTGCAGGCGGTTGTGGTTGAGCTGCAGCGAGCGCAGGGCACGGAGGCTGCGGAACGCATCTCGGGGGATGAAGGTCAGCTCGTTGCTATCCATCTTGAGCAACTGGAGGGCACTGAGGTTGTGCAGGTCGCTCCAGGCAAAGTCAGAGATGAGGTTGTGACTGAGGTCCAGGCTCTTGAGATTGCCCAGAGGGGCCAGGGCACCGGCAGCCACCGTGCGGATCTCGTTGTGAGCCAGCCACAACGACTGCAGTAGGGGCACCTCCCTGAAGGCACCCTCTGGCAGGCTGGGCAGCTGGTTGGCTGATAGGCTCAACGTGGTCACATTGGCTGGGAAGCCGGACGGCACAGCCTCCAGGTCACGGTAGGCACAGTCAGCGATCTGGAAGCCGTACTTCTCCCCACAGTCACAGGGCTCAGGACAGGCCTGTCCCAGGCCCAGGAGGACCACCCAGCACAGCAGATGTAGCTCCTGCATCCTACCTCCTGCAGAGAAGGACATGTCACCACGGTGACCCCGAGGACAGCAGAAGGCACTCAGCCCTGTCAGCACCCCAGCCCAGAGCCGTTCCCCATCAGAAGGCCCTATCCCACAAAAGTCAGCAGAGACCCAGCACCAGCTAGCCCACCACCCCGTTCTACAGATTGGGAAACTGAGGCCCAAAGAAGGATCAGGACTTGCCCAAGGTCATGCAGCCAGGAGGGAAGAAGACAGGATGGAAGAGGACCCCAGTTCCTTCTCGGAGCAGACAGCTCTCCCTGCCTCGCCAGCTCCTAGCTGACTTTCTGACTTGAAATCTGTTTTCCAGCTGCTCCCTCCCCCAGCACTCCAGAGAACCTCCCTTCTGCCCTCCCACATCCTGGCCATAGTCCCTCCCCCAGGAGCCCCCCACAGGTATGCTTTGCCTGGTCCAGACAAGGCCCCTTGTGCAGTGCTAACCACCCCCATTCACCCCACCCCGCTCCTACGGGCTGTGACCACAGCAGACACCAGACCCTTTCTACGGAATCACACCCCTGGCCTGTTCTGTTCAAACTACCCCAGGCAGCTGCCTAAATAAACCTTTCCAGGACTTCTCAGCTGGCCTGGGTGAGGCCAGTGGCTCAACCCAAATACTGCTGGGATTTCCAGGGCTGCGGGTGTTAGAGGGGCAGATGCCCCCGGACAGATCCAAACAAGGGATTGTCCCAAGTGCCCTGAACTAACAGGAAATTGCCCTTGGGGCCCAGCCCCTGTGCCCACAGACCTCCTCCTCCTCCCGCAGGCCCTTGGAGGCCTCCTCTCGCTGACTTACCTTCAAACTACTCTTTCTTAGTTAAGTGAAGCTCTTCTAAGATGGAACCAAAAAGCAACAAAGGATGGAGTTAGCCTGGGACAGTGCAGGACCAATGGTGCCCAAGGGAAGACAAGGATGCTGGCGGAAGGGGCAGCCTGGCCCCTGCTGCACCTTCACGTTGCACGCTGGTGCTGGCCCTTCCCAGAGAGGGTGCCTGGGACCGTCTGCTGGGAGGAGGCTGCAGAAAGGGAGGGAGCCCGGGACGCCCGTACACTCCCTCCTTCCTGCAAAACAACTGCTTCTCTGCGGCAACAAGGACCCGTGTTTCATAAGTGACACCAGAAACTTGAGGGGGAAAAGATGCCAAAATTTTTTGTTTTTTCTCTCTCTCTCTCTCTCTCTCTCTCTCACTCACTTTTAGCAGCTTCAACTTCCTTAAAGACACAGCACTAGCTGGACAGGACCCAAGAGAAGATGGAGCCGCAGGGTTTTTACGGGGGAAGGGTGAGAATTGAATCTCATGAAAGGTGGAGACTTCTAGTATCACTTCAAACAAGATGAAAGCGCGGGTGCGTTCTCTAAGCTGGGGCTGTATGAGTGATTGTGAATGTGCATGTATGAATGTGGGTGTGACATTTCTGGGTGCAGATGAGTTTGTGCGTGTGTAGATGTGGTTGTGAAACTGTGAATTTGTGTGTGTTTGGGAAGGTTTGTGTGTGTGTATGTATCTATGTTTGGGTAGGTGTAGACTATGTGTGTGTCTGTGTGGGTGGGTGTGAAATTTGTGTGTGTATTTGTGTGTGTGTGTAGAAATGAATGTGCATCTGTGCCTGCGTGTCTTGTGGGTGACGGGGGTGTTTCAGCGAGCAGCTGAGAAGGCCAGAGCATAGGAAACGACCATGGGCTCCAGGGCCTCAGTGAGAGGCCAAAATGTTAGGCCTGGTTTTTTTTTTTAAGAAAACACACCCTCCTCGTCTGTGTCAGGCCTCCCTGCTGGCTCTGAGGTTGGGCTGCCCTAAATACGTGCTGTCCAGGGAGGTCCCCAGGCACCAGGGAGGCAAGCCCGGCTCCCCGCTGCACTGGCTGGGAAGGGTCAGAGAGGAAGGCAGGCATGTGGCCCACCTCAGTGCTGGTAGCAGAAAGCTCAGGACAGGAGCGAGTTGGGCTTCCATTTCCCAGGCAGGATTCTGAGATGCCCAGGCTCACAGAGATGGTTTCATCACTCAGGACTGCCCACTTGCAGGCAGAGATGAGGTTGAGGGGCCTCATTCCTTCTGGAATATTCTCTCTGTGGCCTCCCACAGTGCCTGAAATCCCACCACTGGCGCTGTTTGACTGTGGAGGCCCATTGATCTAGGAGTTCCACTTTCCCCACACTAATTGTGTGGAAGAGCATGTGCCTCCAGGGTGAGTGTATCTGACCCTTTTCCCTCAAATAGGAGGGCTCAGGGGAACAGGAATGAGGAGAAGAAAGAGGCCCAAAACAAGAGAGCTAGGAGAGAGACCAGAAGTTGAGGGAGCCCCTGAAAACCCGTGTAGCCTCGGTAATTTTGCCCTCCACAGCATAAGCCTGCTTGTAACCCCCTCAATCCTCTTCCCCCAAAGCTTTCTTTTCCTTTTGTCTGTGTATCAGGCTGAATTCTGCTCAGGACTCAACTTACCCTTTTGGCAGGGCAAAGGACAAACAGGTGTTGTCTCTGGCTGAAACTATCCCAGAGGTGTCCCCCTCCCAGCTTGTCCCATTCTCACCTCTCTGTCACCAAGCCAGGCTGCAGAAATCCAGGGAAGCCCAGTGTGTTTCCTGCACTACACCCCCATCTGATGCTGAGGATATTCTTATAATCTGAGTTCTCTCCCACTGCAGGTGAAGCCCGTCTGGCATCATTATTATTGTGCTGGAGAATTTTAGGGAAGTCCTGAATTTGGTGGGTCAACCAGAGGCTGGAAGGCTGCACATCCAGAATTCAAAAAACCAGAGGGGAGAATTTGTGACCTCAATGCCAGTCAAGGAGGGCTTCCTGGTAGAGGGGGCTTCACTGTGCTTTTGTACACCATACACCACCTCACACACACAAGGGCCATACCACCTCCAAGTTGCTCTGAGGAGCTCACTGTCTCTACCCTGTCCTCCTCCTCCAAGTCACACAAGGGTCAGAGAGCACAGATCCTCCCCAGCCCTCAGCCCCTCCTGCTGTGGCTGGGTCCTTCTGCCGTTTAAGGCTTCCATTAACCATCACCTCATCAAAGAAGCTTCTGAGATGACCAAGGCTAACGTAGGTTCCCCTGTTAACTGCCCTCACAGGCCTCCCTATTTTCCCTTCAGAGTTCTTACTATTGTGTTTCTTGACAACTTTTGTTTTTCCTGCAGTTAATAATGACCTTTTTCTTGGTGTCAGGGAGAGGAGCATAGGTTTTCATTTTTGTTTTTAATGTTATCAATAATTTAATTCCCAACTCTCCCCAAGTTGGGTAAATTTCCTCTCTTCGTAAGTAAACATATAAAGTACTTGATCAATTTTCTCTTCCTGAAGAAATCTCTCCCTGAGCCTTCTGACCTGCTCCAACTCTGTATTTAGATGCCTTCTTTGTCGCAGGCACATGGAGATGGGCCACCTCTGTTATGTGGGGTCCCCTTTCACCGCTCTTGTGTTGAGTCTCTTGCTTTCTGGACCCCACATGTTTTCCTTCTCGGTTTACACTCTTATTTTGGCAGAAACCATCCTGCCATCGCTTCCAGAAAAGGTGCATGGGAGGCACCTGTTTTGAGACTTTGCATGTTTGAAAACTTCATGCTGTCGCTAATCTTGATTGATAGTCTGACTGGGTATAGAATTCCAGATGCAAATCTTTTTCCCTCAATTTTGAAGGGGGCCTTCCCTTTAAAGTTGTTGCTTTAATGTTGCTTATAATGCTGGTGTTAAGGGTCTGCAGTTGTTCTGACATCAATTCTAGGCATGCTACTTGGGATTTTTCTCTCTGAAAGCCTATATGACCTTCTCTTTCCATGTTTTGCTAATTCACTATGCTGTGCCTTGGTGAGGGTCTGTCCTTTCATATCAGAAATTCATGTTCTTCGGCTTTGGAGAACTTTTGATTTACTCCTTTATGATTTCCTGACCTTCATTTTCTCTGTTCTTTCTGGAACCACAGTTAACCAGATATTGTGCATCCTGGAGGCACCCTAACTTCCATTCCTTTTTCCTCCTTTGCCACATCTCTTTAACTCTCCCTATTTCTAGGTGATCTCCCTATTGTTATCATCCTATACTTCTAATAGAGTCCTGATTTCTGCTTTATACATTTTAAAGTTTAAAGATTCCTTTTTAATTTGCTGAATGTTCTCTTCAAAATATATTGCCTAGTCCCAGGAGCTCCCCGGGCCACTGTCTGCCCTCTCCTGGCCTCCTCTGAACCGGGTTCTGGCCTGGAGATGGGGGTCCTTGGTGAGTATGTGAATTCCCTGACTGTGCCCATATCACAGAGGCCCAGGACTAGAGAGCCCTTCTCAGAACCTCAAACCTCTCTCCTATCCCTGACTCCTCAGCAGCCCCAAAACCATGGAAGTGGAAGGGTGATGGGGAGCAGAGGGAAAGGGGCCAGGCTTGGGAGCCCCTCCTGCCAGCTCCAGCCTGGCTCCTGTGGGCCTCAGGGTAGCTCGGTTTGCCTAGAATCTAACGGTTTTCCAGGACAAGAGACTTTCAGCGCTAAAGTCCGGACAGTCCCAGGCAAACCGAGGTGGCTGGCCACCCCAGGAGGGAAGGTGGCGCCCCTGCTTCCCACAGCGTTTTTCTTTCCTGCTGCCTCCTCCCAGCCTTCCTACAGAGGCCAGCCCTTTCTCCTCCCTTTCCTCCCACCTCCCCCGTGGGCACCATCCCTCCGCAGCTGCGGCTGCTCAGCTGAGACTCCCACAGCCCAGAGAGGCCTCACTCCCGCGGACTAGGGGGCTGCTGGCAAAGCCATGTCAGCTTTTCCCGGAAAGCAGGAAAAAAAAAATCCCAGAGAGAGAGAGAGAGAGAGAGAGAGAGAGAGAAAAGAGTGGGAGGGACAAAACCCAGCAGAAATAGAAAGACAAAGAAATAGGAGAGAGAGATGGGGAGAGAAAGAAGCCAGAGAATCGCCCACAGCAGGACAAGACGTGAAGGCAGAGAAAGGACAGGAGAGATGGAGAAAGAGGGGCCCCTGGACCCTGAGATGGGCTCTGAGAGGAAAGAGGTGGGGTGCTCAGATGTGAGGCCCGCCGTGCCCGTGGGGCTGTGGCCTACACGCAGAGAAGGGCAGGCCTGTCTGGGCCCCGGCCCCACCTTCGGTCCACACGATTTGTTGGAATATCCAGGCGGAAGCCCAGTCGCTCTCCCTGGGACTTGTTTAAGCCTGTGGGTTTCCCAGGAGGGAGAGGCCAGCTGGGGCCCTGGAGAAGATGGGGCCATGGAAGCGACCCTGTGCTGGTGCTTGTGAGCCCCTGTGTGTGTGTGCGTGTGCACCTGGGGGGTGGGTCCTGAGATCTGCCCGGACCACCAAGTCATGGGGTTCTCAGTTTCTCTATCCCGTGTGGGAGCTGGATGAGGTGGTCTAATGTCCTTCCGCCTTGCTGTTCTGCCGTTCCAGCATTTCTGATGCAGGTCCACTGGGAGGAGCAGCCTGCACGCATGCATGAGTCCACATGCCACCATTGCCACTTGTTTGCACAGGAGACTGTGCTGGTGTTCCATGGGTTTGTGGGTGTGTGCACACCTGGGTGTATGTGGGGTGGTGAGAGCGTGAGCTCACAGTGTGTGCGCCTGAGGCTGTGGGTGGGGCACAGGGCAGGCCCCAGGCCTCCCTGCATCAGCCTCACCTGCCAGCCCCCCAGGCTGACCCACGGCAGGTGCCCGCACTCCCAGTCCTTTCCCGCTGCCCACCTTCCTCTCCACATACCCCTCCTGTCACCCAGAGTCTGGGTTCCTGGGTGATCTGCCCCTGCCCCTCCTCTGGGCTCGTCCCCACCCTGCTCTACCTGTGTCAGCTGTACACGTCGCCAGCTCCCACCTTAAGGGCACTGCCTGCCCTTTTCTCAAACTGTGCTCTGTCCCCTGTATTTGCAGGGCTTGGTTCCTCTTGGCTTTGGAGACTTTGTTCAAATGCCAGCTCCACAGAAGGGCCCTCCTAGACCACCTTGAAGAAATGGCCTTTGGCACTCTCTCTCCTCATACCGCTTTACTTGTCCCTCTTCCTAAACTTGCCCAGACACACCTGTCAATCTCCCCAGGCTGACTGTGAGCCCCACACCAGCAGGCTCAGGGTTCTGTCACTGCTTGACCTGCATGGTGCCTG